AGTCGAACGGTGTAACGTTGCTTTACTGAACCGGGTTGAGATCCGATTGGCGGCTATGTCACTCAGTACTTGTTTCTGACATTGTCCCAGTGTACATTGAAAGTACATCGAAAAAATAACCCACGGAACGTCGGAAAAGGTCAACCGTTTTCAATTTTCGAATCGGTGGCAAAATCAGAAATAAATTTGATCGTTTCTGGAATCTGGTTATTGATGAAGAATGATGAAAGTTCAAAGGAAAATAACAGCTTGAGTTTAGTATTTTGATCTTCACAAATTCAAAACTATCTTTTAAACTGTGTGCAACTAGACTTTGCCTAAAAGTTTTACTATATTCACCAGCCACTTGACCGCCGCGTGGTATGGTGAGTTTACCTTGAAGAGTATTCAGTTAATAGAGACACTCTTGGCGGATTTTTTCAAGTCCGTATAGATGGGTACTGTATGGTGATCAGGTTTACCGGTCGTAAAAAGACTGAACTTGATACTGGTTTCATCACGGAATGTTCTTAGGTAGAGATCTGACGTTCCACACTTGTTACTTTGCCTTTCTCATTGGATACATGAGCGATTTTTTCCGTCCGCTACAACTGCGCATATTTTTCATATAGTTTTGTTCGTTCAGCATCGAACGATACCAGCTTCATTATCAGTGCGAGCTAAAATAATGTCCTTATTCTTTCGTTACTTCACAATGTCGTTTACCTAGGGGTTTAGACATAGGAGCGATCTCGACGATGACGAAAACACCAGTAGAAAGATGCAGACGCAAGTTTTTCAAGTTCACCGTTATATTTAGGTAACAGCCCTAGAGTTTTTCAAACTAAATTTCAAGATCTAACTTGTCCTCACACTTGACGGTATACAAACCTCCGACTCATGGAAAACACCTCGACCAGAGTGATACTTGAATTCAAATCCTAAAAGTCATGGGTTTGTTTTAAAATCTTGAGCTGTATTGTCTTTTTGCAAACTAAAGTCTCACTATTTTTGGAACGCGATTCATGAATATCAAGAAATCTGTTTTCAGACCTTTAATTTATCTATGGGGTATAGGCGTTACGAAATATTCTGATCGTAGTAAGTACCTTTTGAGTGCACGGTATCGACCAGTCCCCGGAAAACACGAAACCCCCAAGGATCAAAGTAGCACGACAATCTTGAATAAAGGAAAATGGTTCGACTGGCAGACCGATTACTTCGAACAACGATTCTTGCAGCCACCAGATTTCACTCATCTGGAGCCTACAGCTGACACACTCTGGAACGCCATGCAACCTCGGAGGTTCATGACTGCATGTGCTCTCTGAAGCGCCACTGAGCTCCTTTCCCGGTTGATCTCCCATCAGCACTGCTCCAAGACGTGGATGAAGTCCTCATTCAGCCCTTGTCTGATACATGTGGGAAAAAGAGGCTGTCCCAGGCACTTGGGGAGAGTCGCTGATGGTGCCCATTTTGTAAAAGGGGGATCTTAATGAGTGTGATATCCACAGGGGATCCGCTCGACGCGTTCGTAAGGGACCGCTGGTGTCACGTGATTCTTCGCCTTATGGTGGCTCGTGAAACACTGACTCGAGAAGAGCAAGCGGAGTTCCGGCCTTGTAGGGGTTCCATTGACCAAATCTTCACTCTCTATCATAATCATAATCATCATCAAAGACAGCAACATCAGTGTTGATACTCATGCTTCACTGCCATACACTTCACACTTCGTCAGGTGCTACAACAACGCCATACGTGCAAACGACCGACAAGTTTAATATTCCTGGATTCCAAGGCGCATTCGACTGAGTTGGCTGGTGTGTTCTCCTCAACACACTGGCCCATCAGGGAATGCTCAGGAAGTTTGTGAATATAATACGTTCTGTGTATTCTCAGAGTTTAGGACGTGTAACTATAGCTCGTGTAGGCTGGTGTCGGAGAATCCGCAACGAGACAATTAGAAGGCAAGTTTTCGGTCGTGCACCTTGGACTTCCATCAAATAATGTGTTACGCACCAGAAGCTGCGTTTGTTAGGTCGTGTATTGCACATGCCAAACCGCTGTTTGCCGGAGTGTTGTTTTCCGCGCCCATTTCAGAGTAGCGGAAGCAGAGAGGTGGCCAACTCTTGACCTGCCAAAAGGGTATGAAAGAGATTACGAAAAGTACATGTGCTGTCGTTGCTACTCGCCTTCCAGGATGAGGACCGCGTGATCCTCACTTTGCCTGATTGGGAATACTGCGAGATATGGCTGCTAATAGATGTCAGTGGCGTTCTTGTTGTTAGTTTCGATCCAGATTGTCTGATTGAGTGCCTGGAGGTGTAGAAACCTCGGAATGATTGTAGTAAGCTAGCACTAAGTACCTTCTGCATCCACCTTTATTCTTTTCTTGAGAAAAAGGTTTTTAAACAAATCACGATTGTACGGCTGCGAAGCATCATTGTTGGAAAATGATGTCATGCTGTCGATGATGTTGATAATGACGCATATTTTCCTCGGCATGTCTGTTGGAAAATCCTAGCCCCGTAACCTCACTAGATGGCTTGAAAATTTCCAGTGTTCTGAAATTTCTCGTTACTTCTTTGCGAGAAAAGAGTAGGCTGTTTGGAACACTCCGTCTGACATGACCGAAGTAGTCAGGGCAGAAAAGCCATTTGTAAGGTTTAACGCTAGTTGGAGCTTGACAGCTAAGTGTGCGCGTTTGTTACTGAACGCTTGATTGAGACCAACTGACATTCTCTGTGTTTCCTTTCCCTCCCGAGTTTTGTGGTTGTTTCATTTTTCATAAGCAATCATAATATTTAGCGAACGAGAGGCGACTAGTTAAAAACAATATTGTAAACGATTCTCCTCAACCACAGATGACTTAGTCATCGTTTATCGGCCCATCGGGTTGTCTATTTTAGGTTTACAGTTTCGTAGAGGCTCATTAGGAAATGCGAAAAAGTATCCCGTTGTATCCTTGATTACAAAATGGTCGGAAAATATCCAAGTGTTGTGAGGAATAAATCAGAACACAAACGCGTAACACTTTTCTGATCCATTGGAAGAACAGTACGTATGTTGTATGGCTTACACTATTGCTCATTTTTGTGGTATACTTCGTCAAATTTTGTTTCTTTACGCACCCTTGGAATCTAGTTATACTGATACCTTTTTCTAAATTGTCCGTTTCTACCTGTCGCATGACAATATGGCCTCAATTTGTGTCTGGTTTGCATTGGCATGCCACTGTAGCAACAAGAACTCCATTCAACCTACAGGATTGAATCCATGCGGGTTGAGAATTGTGCCGGTCCCAGTCAGAGAGATGGGAAGGCAACCTCAGCTACCGGCGATCCAGTTAGAAGTTGTATTTCAAGGAAGCTTCTGATTGAACTGTTTCTTGCACCCAGAGAATGTGATAAAGCTTGGTGCAAATTCAAGTGCACTCCATGGGATACAGCATACTCGGGAATATTTATGTAGCTTGTTTATCTTCAGTGTGGACCTATGCAACCATGTTCACAATGATCGACAGAACATTGAAAACGAATTCTCTGTCTAATGTGGAGAATCCTGAGTAAATTTTTCACTTGGATGGGTCTCAGCGCACATGAGTTGAATGTCAGGGCGTGGCTCGTGAGCATTTGCCGCGTCTGTTGGAAGTCCTGTTAAAATGTCTACTGGATACAGTGGTCCACTCAATTTGGTAAACTACATATGTCCTAATCTTGTCGGGTTCCCGTGTACTTTTACGTGGGAAACAAATTAAGATCTATAATTGTGAGTGAGAGCTGCTTAAGACTGTCAGTAGCCGAAAAATCAGGGTTTGATTCCGGTGTGATGGGACTTTTCAGCATATTTTGGAGTAGCTTAGACACCGCTTCGAATTTGACTATCCGGGTGTCAGATAGGTACCTTCAGTGTGACACCGCAACAGGTCAGTTCAAGCCCAGGCGATTTTTATTGTCTCAAAATTAATCTTTGATCTTAAGTCTGCCGTGTCAACTAAATGACACAAACTTTGGCGTTAGATAAAATAGACAATATATTTTTACAACGCGAAATTTCAGGATCTGTTCGGCTAGGGACGTCACACACGTTTTCAAGGTTGATGATGGCATTGTTCACCGTATCGCACCGCCTCACTCTGCTGTACAACAATGCGCTGAGGATATTGCTTCACTGGGTAATGAAACGTTCTCAACAAAGTTGCCAAGTTTAGCGATCTATTCCACCATCAACTGAACATACCAAGCTAACAATATACTCCTCTAAGCTCTCACTTCATGAAATGAGCTAAATGGGTCAGCTCTAAAACCACCCACAAGTTCACTAAACTGGTCAACAGATTTATGTAGGCTTCAGAATCGTTGCATGCGGGACCAACCAGGTGTTGCCGTAACAGCATTGAAAAAATGTAGGCTTCAGAATCGTTGCATGCGGGATCAACCAGGTGTTGCCGTAACAGGGGCAGGCCTGTCACCAACAAACGAAAATTATGAGAAGTAAGAACACTATCGTACCAGGAGTGATGATTTTCAACCTCATAGGCTTTCTCCCCCAACCATTTTTCCCTCAGCAATTTGTGTACACTACTGGCTCAGAAGGAACTCACGAAATTATATCACAGATTTTTCGGCCGATCAGAACCGCGTCCTTCGATGATTAATACACGCATTAGCGGGAACGGTCCATCCAGTGGTCCTCCTTGCCACTTTTCGATTGACGAATTTGGTCTTCCATTTTGTACCTGGAAAAATAAAGCCACATCTTTAAGCCACGGTGCCCTTTCGATGCGAAGGTACCGTCTAATGTGTAAGGAGCGCAGGTGCTGAGCCACTGCCAAAATATTTGAGTCCAGCTAGGAATAGTCTACAAGCTATGGCTGCATTCCAATAACTTACTTTTCAGTAAGTTGCTCACGCCATAACGTCGGCATTCTGGAGTTTCATTGCTAACCACGCCAGATCTATGCCAGCAGTATGTGAGTTGGATTTCACCTTGCACGTCTACGCTACCTTTTTTCTCTCTAGGTATTAGAATACAGCGAAATATCACCCGAAACGGCTGCACTACGTCGTTCTGACAATGGCCACGGAGATACTCTCCATAGCGTAGACTGCGCAGACGATGCGTCAAATGGTGATTCCGAACGCCTTGTGTACAGCCACGGGAATATTTGTGTTCATTTTGTCACTCGCGAATTTCTCACGCGCGTCTGCAAGCCTGAAATGACGTCCCGAATGGAATATCACGTTGCGAAAAAGAAAGTGCCCTATGTGGACGTGAGCACGGGACAACGGATCATTCCTTCGGAACCAAATGGGATAAAATTCGAACAGTTTGTGTTCGATGTCTTCCCTTTTGCTGAGTAAGTGATTGTTGTCCGCTCAAATGAATATGCAATATCTCTGCCCCTTTATTCTTGTTCACTGCACTCCCGGTGCTGTGGTGATTCTAACTCCTTGATATTGTCTTCCGCTCACCAGTGTTGGTGTGTTCCAGCTGTTGCCAAGGTTACGAATCCTTTGCGCATGATTTCCCTTTCAACATCGTTCGCAATCTTTTGCGCATAGTGATCTAGTGCACGGACATCTGGTTCCCTAGTACTTTATTAAACCGCCTCTCACTGTTGTCATGGTAAACAAATGTAGTGTGTGAAACATCATCATCTATTACTAACAGCATTAACAGCAGTACACCAATATGGACTATTGATGCTAGCTGTCATACGACAGTGAAGAAATTCTGTCCTAATAAATAATGAGTGGAATGTGAAAATGCATAAACAATGTAATGTCTCTAGAGAGGACGATCAAGAACAAGGTGCCTGTACTATGGAGCGTCAACCAAATAAACTCATCATCAAATGGCGAGTGAAACGCAACCAGTGTGACTGACCCAGCGTTCTTCACGGGTATCGCTCAACACGAAACTTGCATACAACGAGAGACAAACTTTATCTGGGCTGTTCGGCTGAGAAGTGACAGCGTGCTTATCAGTGAAACCGGTTGCGTGGCTATCAGTGGGACCAAGTGCTTGCCATATCCTGTGGGTTTCATAACCCCCTACGAGGATAATCACGCGTACGTAAACCAGGGCGGTGCGAAGATCCCACAGCACTCCGTTCCAGCAACCATCTTTGTTCCTCGTTGCCATACCACAATAAGCTTCCTCACTAGGGAATAGTTTTTTCTTGGTACAGTGTGGTTGAACGTATGTGGTCTCTGGTATCATAAAGAATACAGTTTGGTAAATGTTACCTGCGCGTTGATAACACCTACACTGATTCCTGTCACGGTATAGTTGCAACTTATAGATGTGTCGGGATAAGTAAATGGGTCAATCAAGTAAACTTTTTCCTGCTTTAGGGGACACAGGGTAACTGAAACTCCTGAAGCAACACTTTACAGTTTGAAGGTGCAAGATTCGCACCGCCTCAAGGAATCACTTCTGAATTTCTTTTCCGAGTATACCATGCAGACTGGGACTGTCAAACGACAGGAAAATGTCCGCCTAGTCCAATTCTGCTAGTCTTTATCCATATGTGATTTTGATACCAAGATCCTCGACCCCTTGAAATGTGCATTCCTCGGTGATATAGGTGACGAAATTGGACAGAAAAAGAGGTTGAGAGTAGGTAAATTTGGCGAACCCTGCTGGTTTGGGAGAAGCATTTGGACGATTCGTTGCAAACTCTTACAAGACGAAAATTACAAAGATAGAGGTCATAGAGTATATTACCTCATGGATGGTCTTCTTTGACCAAGCGGATGTAGAACAACTGACCTATCTACGAGATCAAAGTGTCCTTTAAGTCGTGGAAAACGCCACTTGTCGATTATGACACTGCTCAGGCACTTGACGTATTGTGAAGATGTAGCCGAGCTCTCTTGAAGCTTCCCTAGAAAAAAAACGTGTCCAATAAGGACGTCAACGCTCCATCCTCGTTCAATTTCGTCGTCGATGGAATATTAAGCGGAATGTTCGAAGGTCTTCAATACCTCGGTGTCTGAATCGTTGTTGGTGAGATCCTTGTCGGTCTGGAGTATGCTGACGCCGTCATCTTCATCTTTTTAGACGAGGGCCAGTCACAAGCCCTGTTGAATAGACTAGCCTCCATCCTACTATCTATAGGCATGCTCGTTGCACCTTCACAGTTCGAACTCAGAACGTACAGTCTCTGAACCTACGCCTCATAGCTCAAGGAGAAGCACTGGAGGTTCTGGAGAATTTTATATACCTCGTGGTTTTATTAGCTCCGACAGAAATTTGTCTTGTGAAGTCAGTACACGAATTTCAAAAACCTGAGTCACATTTGCTGATATGCGTCTCCTGTGGCGTCAGAAAGGCACATCACTGGGTCTAAAAGGTTACAGTAAGGGCTACTTGTTAGGCAGGAATCCACGGGGATCCCACTATACCGCACGTCTTTAGGCGCTGCTACGGCCGAGAAGCCTGGCCCGCTCGAGGTTGGCCCAGAATTCGGGACGCTTGCCGGTCCGGCATCAAGACGAGATCTGATTAGTCAACAATCTGGACCCAACAGCCAATCGTGACCCAATATATGCCAAATGCCGGTTGCCAATAGCGCTCCAGAACGCGCCAGAAATTCCAGAAGAAAGTTATAACCGCTTACGCTATATATACAAAGAGCTGTACAACTGTTCTTGACTTCGTTTTAGGCGTTAATAGACCTTGTGCACCTTTGGTGATTGTTTTGACGTGAACGCTAGCTTGGGAGGCTCAGACCGAGAACTAAGCTGAGGAAAATACCGTTACTACACTACTGTTGTATGGCTGCGAGACAGATTATGTGAGGCGTTTTTAGGTTTTGGATTACCGATGCCTTGGAAGCGTTGCTAGTTTTGGGTGGCGTCAGCGAGTTTGTAACGGGGTAGTTAGGAAACGGGCATTTGGTTGTGCAGTAGATACTCCAATCGCGGAAAACATCCAGCACCGTCGGCCGCAATCGCTCAACCATGTTCTCCGCACACCGAAACACCGTCTACGGAGGCGAGTATTGTTCTCCGTTACACTTTCAGAATGGCGCAAACCGCGAGGTGGACAACGTATGACTCGGCAGAAGGGTGTGAAAAGATTGCGGACGGTTTGGGTGTTGTTGGTGTTGTACATCTGGCAGGATTTGGTCCTCTTTACCTCTAGTGCGCTTGGCTGGACGCGTTGCAAGAAATGGCGCTGATCGATGTCAGTGGCGTTCGTGCTGTCAGTTTATTCCCAGATTGTCTGACTGTGTTCCTTAAGGTGTAGGCACATAAGAATGCTTGCGATGGGCTAATACCTGACCCGCTCTTTCATCCACCCTTCTTCTCTTATTTTCACTCCAAGGCTTTAAATATTAGATGAACTTTACGGTTGACAGCAGTGAAGCACCACTGTTAACACTTATGTTGTGGTCTGTAATGATGATGATATGCAATCAATGCATCCCAATCTTGTGCGAAATCTTTCTTGATGGTTTCGGATTTGCTCTTAGGTGCCGAGCCTAAGTGCCGCGCTATTATTGAAGCCAGTATTCATGACAAATATTGTGCTAATATCTCCATGGTTGTAATAGTCGATCCGTGTGCTGATTAGTCTCAATCGTCCGGAATGCTCCTGCTTCTAAATAAGTTGGCGTGCTGTATGTAGCTTCTCCGCCTTCCTCTGAAACCACCAGGATCTTCGTTCACAGACATCGAGTATGCGGATTGTGTTGTTCTTCTTGGCCCGGATCCTCCAGAGTTGCAAGTTATTTCATTTAACTCAAATTATTCTGCCGCGTGGTTGGTATATGCTTCACGCGCGTATAGTGTAAAGTGCTGCTGCAGTATTGGGTGGGATCAAACCCAAGCCTCATTCTTGCAAGTCAGTCAGTTGGGCTGGCTGGAGAAGAGATTGCTTCTCGGTTTCCTTTTAAACTCGAGATAGCTCAGTGGTTAAAACACGAACTTACTGACCGGAAGGCCCATATTTCGAAACCGATCCCGTAATCCCGATGGGTCCTGTCTATGCTTGGACTCCTGACAGTATCTCGTACTCCTCGTATCCTCGTACTCCCTTCGGATGTTGTGACAGCTCTTCACCGAAAGGGTGTTATCATTGGATGATTATTATTACTTTTTACTTTAGTAGGTCCGTGTTTTTTTACTCAAATGGTGGTACAGTACTCTCCATACGAGGGACCTATCTGGTCGTAATGCGCATGCTTTGAGCACCAAGCCGGTAGCATATTGGAAGGATTCTCTCTCGAGGGACTTTCTTCGTCGAAATCGGTATGCCACACAAGAAATGAGGGTAATATCTAATTGGAAATTGTTTTTGACTGCAACTGGATGGAAGATCGTGATACGATCACTCAAGTCCTTCAGTCATGACTAATGAATGAAAGTCATTTGCCGTCGACTAACCCACTCCTTGAGTATGAGTTACCAATGAGTAAACTTGTTTTTCTACTAAAGTCCTGTTAGTGTTAGAGTTCCATCCAGCGAGTATAAATCGTCCAACTGTAGCACCATTTCGCTGTCTAGCTGCCATGCCAACCGAAGGCTGCACGAGAGCTGAGTTACCCGAGCTTAGATAGGAGCACTCGAGGTGCCTGAATGGGATTCGAAGTCCACACCTTCCGGTCAGTAATTTCGTGTCTTGACCCCTGAGCGATATCGAGCGCACATGTTTTGTCGACCATCCATTCAAGTGCATGCTCGCATTTGACCGCGTTTTTTTCTGCTACCTGTATTAACGCCTATAACTGTGGTCGGTAATATAGGTATTATGAAGCGTAAGTTGTTTCATGCAGGTCGTCTGAGTGTCTTCGATCAGTAGAGCTCAACACGCCACTGATAAATGACCAGTTTTGCGTTACTCCAGGTTTATCAATCAGAGCTGTCACTATCGCATCCTTATGCATCTGTATGCTACCTTGGAATTTTTAATGACTATTTTATACTCCAATATCTTCGCTTGTTACCACAATTAACCCATATCCGAATCTCGTGCCCACCAGTTCAACTACCTTCGTTCTATATTGCGTCGGTTGGGATTCGGTCCTTTCACGTAATTATGGTCGCAGGTGTTTCGCAACCCTTGTTGGAACGACAACCTTCAATTTGTAGTCACTTTTTGCATTCATTTCAGGCGCTTCGCTATCTGGGAAGTACCGCGGAAGGAATACTTCTCTCCGTTGAAGAATGGTCCAACGGCCACGGCGGATTGTCCACGGACCTCGCGTACTGACTACTTGGCATTTCATGCTAAGTTGGCCCGCGACGCTGGTGCCAGCCTCTCCTCGGACCTCAGAAACGAAAATGGTTACACCAACAGGAACCACTCCGAGGCGGTGATTGAAATTTCACCGCTGGTTAGCGGTATTGGTGAAGTAAGCTTCCTTTTGAATCTATCCACTGGAAGTATATACTTTACTGCGTTCGCTATTGACCACTTTTTATGACTTTATACTGTCAAAGCGCTAGTCTTGTGTCCCTTTGTCAAGTTGCATGGTGTATCCAAGTGGGGGTATCTTCCGCGCCCCCGCCGTTCGCCTGAATGTCAACGAAACCTTATTTTTCTATCAACAATAGCTTTTGTTTTATCCCTAGCGAGACCTTATATTCCAAAAGTATTCGCTTATTTCTGCTTTCTCCTGCAGCGATGATTATATCAAACGGTTCACACAGTGCACACTACTTCGTATGCTTTCTTCAACGTGTTGCATCGTTTTTTGGTTTCGTCGGCCCATCGTGAGCTGTAGGTGCGTGTTTCGCACACATTCACTGGATGTACAGATAACTAACCTTTTAGACAAACCGGGACTTGAAGAATTGGCGCAGTTAACGCGTGAGTTTGCCCAGTTGGAGACCTAGACCTGTTGGGTCATCTCAATATGACATGCAGACATGACGAATTTTCACTGCGGGAGGGATGAGTAGACTGTTCCGAATCGCTGCTGTCCATGAAATATGATCAGCAACAAGGCCAGAGCACGTCATTCAGTTTCCTCTCGATTGCTTGGTGCCATAGACCGCATGGAGACTCTAGACTGATTCCGAGGTGTCTTCATAGATCGGTTTAGAGATGTGTGAAGATGGATGCCAATAGCTATTTCTTGACGTGTTTGGCTTTGGGAGGATAGTGGAGCCCACACAACCGACATGACTCATGAGCCTAGACTGGACGTTGATGTATGCGGTTTTTCCAGTATATGTTAATAGCGTAGTGGCCGATGCGATCGAGGAGAGAGCGCATTTCTCTGCTCAGAATGGCAATGCCATCAGTGTAGCCGAGGTCCATGGGGCTTATTTGTACTTCCTGGGATTACTGGTTGACTCAGTGTCCGGAGATGTAAGCTGTGAAAACTAGAAGCACTGACTAAACGTGTCAGGATGACTAACTGAGGGGATTAGGTGGTCCCCTCGAATGTCCAATTTTTGCTGCATTGGGAGGTCATACAAGATTTGCCGCAACACCTTGCATACACTTTTTAAACGGAACCAAAACTCTCCCATGAAGATTAGGTGGACCACAGGAGGCTTTAATAACTTGGCAGTAAGTTGGTCCTCAAGGTAGGCATTAATTAGTTTTGTGGTTTTTACCTAGCATTAAGGTGAAATGTGCCAGGGTATAGCCTTAACCGTATTTCTACAGATTTCTACAGCATGTTCATACCTGCAAACTGTTTCTTGAGCATGAAGAGTCAGCTGTTATCGGGGTATCGCAGTGGGGTATACAATGGATCATCTTTTGGAGCTCCTCGTAGAATTCGTCCGATAGAAGAGTTGATGAAGAACTTCAGTCATAGACCGCTGTGGCCGTCGATCCACCACTGATGAGTCTCTGAAACCAGCTATCGCTATGTTAGACTGTGGTGACCTTGTTACATGAATCCTCAAGGGTGTAGGTCCGTACTGTCACTTATGCCGCTATGATACAGCCTGCAGAAGGGTACCATTTGATTGACTGTTAACAAAGTCCACGAGGGCGTCTTAAAGGCAAACAATGTTAACTTGGTTTTGAAGGTGACTTTGCATAAGGATAGCATGACTTCCGTTTCTTTGGCCTTTGGACAGTGTTTCTAATGTAATTGTTCGCGGGTAGAGGCTTGACAGTGTTTCTAATGTAATTGTTCGCGCGTAGAGGCTTGTCGGCAGGCGAAGTTTTCCCAGCTAAAAGAAGCGTTTCTAATTTTGCGGGAAGAGGAAGGATTCTCAGATTGCACATTTGTCACGGCCTAAGAAGCGTTGCTTCCCGGGGACACCATAGTTCGAACGAAGCCTGGTATTTCAGAACCGTTCCAGAAGCACCATGGGAATTTTTATATGAGCGACCTTCTGAGCACCGGACAACTTTTGTTTGAGGGTGTAACTCTACCCCTTACCCGGTCGAGTGCGGATTGCAGGGCATCAGGAAGGGTGCAGAAAACAGGACTACCAGATATTTCATTTGTCCCGTTCATCGAATCTTGCTTGTTTCAGTTTGCTTCTTCAGTCCTTATGCATCTAACTGCGGCTTGTATAGGACTCCACGGTTGCAGCTGGTCGTCCCATATTTCTTACCCCACTTCCATAATACAAACTACTGTTTAAGATTCCATGTTCTCCTCGGAGCATGTGAAGCCTCTTTGTGACTGGATAGCGCACGCTCTATCCTGGTGTCTTCAGAAGCCCGTGTAGTATTTTGTGGGAGATCCGGTTGCCATTTGAGAATCTACCACGCTCTGGTGGCACCACAGCACCATTAACTGATGTGCAGCAAGCGTCGCGCGACAATAAGCATAACATGGGTTTGCCGACTTCTCGTAAAACGATTACTTAGAGTACACGGACTCTCTACACGTGGTCTTGTAACTCCGCTTTGGATCTGCTAGCATGGTTGAACCTTGAATAAGTGGGTCTCAAGTAGTATGGCTGGCAGAATACTGCAGCACTCATGGTAGACAACTAACTTGAGGCAACAGTGATGTTATTCCTGTTTACGATCCACGTACCAATTAGTTGGATTCTTGTGGGTCTGCGCGAAACGAACTATTTTGTGGTTCATCGTCGCTTCGACTGGTTGTGACACAAAGGGCCTATATTTAAAGCCAAACGTTATTCTGAAGTAAGTACTTTTGTGTATGGATTCCAATTTACAAGCTCATAGTTCTGACGTGTAGCCTCTTACACACGGCACATTCTGCCTTGGACTCTTTCGAATGCCGTGTCCCCACATGTCTTTACTCTCCGCGACTGACAGTTCCGCTTGGTGGGGTGGACTCTTTCGAATGCCGTGTCCCCACATATCTTTACTCTCCTTCGCGGCTGACAGTTCCGCTTGGTGGGATCTTGCATGTGAGGATCCTGTCCCCTTTTACAGATTTCAGCAGTTGGAGTTGTATCTTCCGCACATACCTCTACTTTTCTCTAGAAATATCAGCGGTTACTCTTCCTATTTATTCCGGTCTACAGTCCTTGCGAGCTTCCAACAAATCAATCACTCTGGCTGGCCTGTCTGGTGGGGGAATGGAAGCCAAATATTCGCGACTTCATTTATCTAGCGATATCGGTGGTTTTGGTTTGAAAAATTCGTACTGTCAAGCTAATTAACTGGTAACCATTTCCTCGAATTCAGAGCCAGTGTTACCACATACGATTTCCATTCCTTCTTTCATTTTTCACTCTAGTATCTGGCTGATAAATCAGAGTGTTGTTACCCTGAACTTCATTCACCCTACCTCATAACTGCAGCACCTACCTCCCTCCTTCCAATTTTGGGTTGAATTTTGGATGATTTTACAGGCTGTTTCGGGTTTTTCGTTACTTTGCGGTGTTTTGTTTTGGATAATGGCATCGCACACAGCCGCCCTGGTCGAACGGTTATGTGTTCAACTACTGGTCGGGAGGTCGTGGGTTCGAAGCTCCCTTGAGTTTTTAGTATGGTTTCGCGAAATCTCAGTTGAAGATTCTCAAGTATTCTCACACTACCAACATTCCACTCTTTCATCTACTTCAGTGCCTAACCTGTCTCAGTGGAAGAGAACTGACTGGGGTTAACCTACTAGAATGGGATGACGCAACTGGTCAGCCGACTCTCAGGTCAGCGGTCACCAATGATTCAATGGAATAACATTGATTATGGCTTTGATAATCCCATTACTAGTGGCTGCAATACTTTCCTTCCGTATCACTACTACCAATTGATTTGCACACACGGTCGTTCTTGTTTGCTCATGTTTGAATCGTTTCACCACGAATCGGTCGCGGGATGATTTGGTCGGTTCCTGTCACTGCCATAACTTGGAGTCTTCATTCCGTTAATTTTCGTTCGTGAACGAATCGGACTTTTTGATTGACTTGCTATCTAATTTCGTTCTTGACTTCGTTCTGTACTACGCTTTTCCTCATGGTTTATTTCCTAGTGCCAGTTTTTTTTATTTTCCTATGTATTTTTCTATTCTGCGATGATCTATTGATTCGTTGGAGTGTTTTCCTATTGGCCGTAGGGGTTATTAATTCCTAATCCGGTTTTAATCTGATCGATATGGTCTGTGAGTTCTAATAAATCTTGAGCGTTTGTGTTGTTAATTGATTTCGATTTCAAACGAGCTATTTGCTGCACGTTGAGGCGAGTAGGCGTATTTTGCCGTATTGATTGGTGATAGATACCAGTTAATCGTATTTATGGAAAAATACCCACTAATTGTAAGGTAGGGTTTGGGTCGCCCTGGAAAGCTAACCACATTCTACCTTACAATTACCATCTTCAATTCCAAGTTTCATAGATGTGTCAATTAGCAGATCCGTTTGGGGGAGTAGATGACTGGTTACTTCAAGACGGTCAAATTCCCACACATGTGCTTACTGGCTTCATCGGTAGGAAGAAATCCTCATTGAAAACCGAGAAATGCTGGTACGAAACGTATGTTGAACCGTGCGGAATATTTACCTCTGGTACCTGTAGGTGGATTTGGGATTTTTATGCTAGGTGTTCGTAGTCCCGTCCGAACAATTCTTCTTCCGGTTGGTCCGCCATCAATAGAAGAAGCACTGGACTTCAGTTTCGTTTTTTTAGAGATCATCGGCATTGCATGTGCTTGGCCGTGCTGAAAACTGGATCCCTGTTATTTAACATGGGAGAGGAGCGTGTTACCGGAACCATTGAGTTTGAAGTGACGTAGTTGTTCATGCTTGAGCAACAGTTTACATGGTTCCTCGAACGAAGATCCCTTAACTGCCGTGGTTGTACCGATCGATTGTCTGTTTATCGGGTAGGGCCATGGTCGCTTTAAACCTGGTGGACATTTTTTCTTAAGTAGTGAGCTTTTCAAAATTGTCTACATGTATAAAGGATCTAAAATAAGGAAGACAGAACAGTTCATGTATTCCATGTCTTTTAGCGAACGTCCCGACAGAATCAAGAGCCCGATGGAGGCTAGCACAGAAGTCCCAAGCAACGTGTATGTTGAATTGAAGAAGAGTGATAAGAGACTGCAAACTTGTCTCACATCAATGAACTCAGGCAAAAGTTTGCTCTATAACCGTGGGGTTACAGTGTCTTGAAGGCATCCGAGGAATCAATGCGAGTACTTCAGTTTGTTAGCCATCATCATAACGATACTCAGAAGCAGCTTTTGCATTTCTGAAAAATTGATTTCTCGATCCGGTCCATGCGAAGAGTTTGTTAGAAAATTTTGACCACCTTAGGCTGGCCAAACAAAAACCCGTTACATTTCACGATCCCTGCGGAGAGTCTGGCAAGCACTAAGCTACGGACCTGGACGGGAACCCAGTAGCTCCAGTGTAGGATATGGTTATTTGTGAAAGAGTTTTCAGGGACAGCAACGTCTTGTCCTTTAGAATCGATGATCACTTTTGATCGTTAGAAAGACTGTGTTCTCAAGGTGGAGATGTGGCTCATGTATCCTGGATAAGGAAGAAACTTACCTGAGTTCTTCTGGGTGCAGAATAATGTTAGAGGGCGTATTGGATACCGCAGCCACCAGGCCGTCTTCTGGGTGCAGAATAATGTTAGAGGGCATATTGGATACTGCAGCCACCAGGCCAATAACACAATGGCTTTCACACGGTACTGTTGCTCCGTTCTTGAAGATTAGCATCATCGCTGTGTTGTTCAAAGCCAGCTATTGTTTTCGTTCGAAGTCGTTTGTACTAGAGTCCTCAGACTGTATGCCAAGGCTTTAACACTCAAAGAGCGCAGAGCTGTAATCATCCGAATGTATTGTCTGATCGTGCAGAGGTCTCTCGTGTTCGATCAGATGAGGCCAGCCCACCGTCAGCCGTGTATGTAAGATACGTACGGCCGTGGTTCATTGCTTTACTCCGAGATGTGTATTCCTCGTCTACTTCCTGACACTTACCCGCGGTTTATTCAGGAAGCCGCTGAGGTTTTAAAGATTACTTTGTTATGCGAATCGGTATAAACAGGAGATATTCACTGCTGATTATTCCCAGCTGTAGAGCTTTTCGGCGTGGGCTGACTTTTCTTGCAAGACGGTCTCTATGGGACAATTCACGAACCTCCTACTCTCAATGTATTATTTTCCTGTATGACAGCTGTGCTTTAGAAACTATCGTTGGCGTAATACTACTCATAATGAGACTGATACTGTGGGCGCTCTACCCACTTACTCCATGGTTCGATTAGATTCGGTGAATCACATTTGCGTATGTCAGTCATATTCCTAGTCCGTCTACCTCGCTGATGTTTCACATCTTCCAAAATTTCAAATGTTTCTATTGCATGCATTCCCTCCAATCAAGTCAAGGGTTTGGTGAATGGGATTTTAGCTTTATCTTCTAGGGACGGCTTGATACATTCCCGAAGTCAGCAAAGTTTTACCTCCGTCAGCTTCAAAAGTACTTCAGAATCTAGCGTTCCTACGTCAGTCAGACATGCAGGTTGACGTCACACTGTAACTCAGTTCTCCTATTCATGTCAGCTAGCTCAGGTCACACAGTACAATCACACGATCGAAGCCCCTACTACACAAACCTATTCATGTCAGCTAGCTCAGGTCACACAGTACAATCACACGATCGAAGCCCCTACCTACACAAACCCTCCAAGCCAATAAAGTAGTGTGAGATCCGAATTTAGTTTATCTCAGTATTCTGTGGCGAAACTCAACTACCATGTGGGAATGACTTGGAAAAATTCAAACGATACAAGATACAGGAAATTTCCGTATCAGGGAGAAAGTTGTCTTAATGTTTGTGACTTCTTTACTTATATGTATGGTCTTTCTTCCGCAATAAAAGCTTTGAATGAAGTAAAAGACATTGAGACGATTTGCCACCTTCTGGTTGGGAATTGCGCTTCAACGGTGTATACTACTGATGGAACATGCGATTAGCGTTTGGTCAGGAGTCGAAGTCCTGACTCTGTATCTGAATGTAGGTTGGCACGAACTTATTGAATCGCTTCTCATTGTTTACCCACTACTGTTTAATATTCAAACAGCATTTACATACTTTCAGGTGGACGCTTGAGGATGTTTAGTTTTAAAAAACTCTGTGTGTCTTGGTTCATGTGATCAGGAAACGACTGTGCATTCGATGGCACTCTTCCTTTCACTGATATTACATAGCATATGTAAATTATAACGTATAAGACCATGCGTACGATCATGTGAAGCCGGTGTCCAAAGTCGCTGTCGGTATCGTAGCCACTAGGCCGTTTGAAAGAACGTTAGGCTGACCACATGACTGCCTAGCTCACTGCTGTCGAAGTTTTGCATTTCATGGGCATTAACTCAAGGAAGTGTACCACAGGGTAGGTGGGCTATTACATCAGAAGGAATGTTCTGTCGTGAAAAACAATTACGTTTGCGCACCACATGGTTGTTTTGACCTTCCGTGGCGCAAGTGTTTTGACTAGACTGATGCCGTGCGTAGTTGGCTGGTTAATCCTGTTCAGACAGAGTATCTCGGTATACCTAGGTTACTCTGCGAGAATTGATGTATTGAAAGTAACAGTTTGTCGCGAAGGCAACACACAACCTCATCTTCTTCTGTAGAAAGTGCATAGCCAGGAAAGACAGCGAATCATAGAAGGAATTCTCGGGAATACTTTTGATCCTTTTGGTTATCTAATCAAAGTGAATTCGAATGGCTGTGATCGTTTTCCGCCAGTCAACAGCTACACTGAGGCCGAAATCGAGGTGATCGCATAAATTTGCTGGTGACCGTTTCCGAGTTTTACGCCTCCTGAAAGATATGGGAAGATTCAGACATGTTCCCTTATTGAGCTTGGAACGTTCACTGCCATAGCGCGAAAGTTACGTAATTCGTGCTTCACTGATATGGCGGTCATAAGATGTGGTCACAAAGTGTACATGGAAAACCATTATCACCTTTCATCTATAGATGGGCGTGCTTTTTGATCAAAGGTTGGACCATATCATGTACAAAATGAAAAGTCGACGTGCACAGTACATCCGTTAGATATATCTCAGAGCTGTATCGATGGGTGCAATTAAGCATCAAACGAAAAGGCAGTAAGCGCAGTTCGCCTAAGACCGTGCACAGTGCAATGCACGGCAGACTAAAACAGGGACGGGTTTGTAGGTCTGCTGTGCAATATTTTGTAAATGGATATTGCGCAACTCAACATAGCTCTTAACCAAAGGACTTCGCCGTAACTAATGCCATAGTAAGGAGCACGTGTTCCTTATTTTCTAAAATGGTAGGCTCCACTGTTTGGTTGTTAGAACAATTGGTCACCGAGACTGATTATTTCTTGTCGGATTTCGACGATATTCTCCGAACTTTTCCATCCCATATATCCATCAGTAACATGTGGATGTAATCAAAATCGAATGTGAATCTCCAACCAGATGTGTTGCTCGGGAATTCGAGGGCCAGATATTTAGGCGATGCTCGCATATGGTTTGTCCGTATGCTGTTTCAGGGATTTCACTTCACCCCCCCCCCCACCCAATTTTCAACGCTTTGAGAATTGGCAAAACCTGTGTGGGAGACAGAGTTCCCATTGGCATGGAAACATGTAAATGCACCATTAACGACGTTACGTAAAACTGAGATGCAACCTTGCACCGATGTAACTGCCTTTTGAATGCACGCAGTTTTTTTTATTATCCCCAGTCGAGGCTAAAATCCCAGATGATTAAATTGGGAATCGGGGTATGCAGTGAAGACAGCCTTCTCCTTGGACATGTAGGTAATCAGCTAGCTGGAGTGACTTGTCTTTGAGACGAGTGGTGCATATAGTTTTGGTGATGGCCACACTTTTCGAAGTATCTTTTCTTTCCAGGCGATTGTAGACGGCCCGTGGGAGGTAGTGTTGCATCGCTTCGGTTTGGCGGCTGGCCAGTCAGGATTTGAAACCAGTCTACAATGACTTGTAGCACTGTTGGTAGGAAAAGATAAGCTGTCTGAATCATTATGGTTTTATTTACGGGTCCCTACATCTACGAAGATCTCTCTTAGACGAAATCAGTCCACGGCAGAAAGTATTTCTGGTTGGTAATTTGAGGGTGCGCCGGATTTCAGATCACTGATAGGTTGGACCTTAACGCGGACCATGAACCACCTT